TGAAAACTAAAAAGGTGGAGCATCATTCTTTACCTTTCGATGTATGCCGATGATGTTGCCATGGTTTCCTATTATCACAACCGTATTCCAGAGAACTTCTCCATGCCTAACATCCCTTTCAAGAATTGGGCTCACTATCACCATGTTGTACTTTCGAGCAAGACCTTGAAGAAACTGCGTGCTTTCTCCATCAATTGGTTCTGCAAATTCACACCATCTCTTCTCTCTCGTGCAAAAGGCAAATGGCATCATCCATGCTTCCTGCACTCATAATAAAACTTTGTAAATCTTGACTAGGAATTTCAAATCTTTTTAACATTTTCAGAACATACTTGTAAGCATATGATGTTGACACCAAAAGCACCAGCTGCATCGATCATAGATTTTACTTTTTGCATGATGGCCTTTTTCTGTTCATTAAAAGGTGCAGTAGTAGGAAGTACAATGGAATTTTGGATTATGCCTACACGAACAATTCGAGATTGCCTTAGTGCCTCTTTGTCAGCACGGAAGCCGAAGGCCTGCATATATACATAGTTAAAATGAAATATGGATATATGGAATTTTTTTTTTTTGAAAGGTGGTTTTTATGAAAGCATTACACAGGTAACCATTGAGGTGAGTTATTAATACAATGAAGCTACTTCTCAACTGTTCCATCTTTTCAAGCCTAACAGTAACTATTTCATAACATTTTAGTAACAAAATCAACAAAAGAGAACGACGGAAGAACATGATCCTACTTACCTGCAAATCGAAATCATGTTTAGTGGACAGAGAGGAAGCAGCCTCAGGCAGAAGAATGCGGTCAAGAGGTTTCCCACAGTTCAATCCCACCAACATGCGACTCACTTCCTGCAAATTTGCATAAACAGTTTGTGTAAGGGTTATTTTAATCAAACCAAATAGCAACTATTCTTTTGAAGCTTGACATCATGCCATCATCAAAATAAATACCAAACATTCTTTTAAAGCTTGACATCCTTGTGATTTTTGCAAGGCAGAATATTTGTGATTGTATAAGAAGAGCTTTTAGGTCTAAGCGACATACAAAGATTCCACCTACAAAATAAAACAACCCACAACATGCCAAAAATGCAACATTTTTTATGTGAAAAATCCGGAAAAGAAAAAATACAAGACCTAGCCATATAGAAATAGTTTCACCATCTACGTTGAACCTTACAAAAATCCACCCTTTCGAATGGTTGGAGGAAGAGGGGATTGCAAATTTGAATTTTAAGGAATATATACTACAAAGATAGCATTGGAAGATGGTAGAGCTGATGAGTATCTATGGTGGACAACAATGGATATCAGCGTCAATCCATGACAACGCATAACAAGAAATAACAGATAACATAACAATGGTTGTCGGGGGCTATCGAAGAACAAGTGATGACAATTATCTTCATCAATTAATGAATGATAGCTAATGATGGTGTTAGTGTCTGGAAAAGAGGACCCTAAAAATAGTTGATCAGGGTTCCAAATGGCAATCAAAGCTCTAAAATTTTTTTAAGTTCATCATATGCTAAAAGAGCTTAATTATGTATGAACATAGTTTATTTATTAATTTGTTAACTTGATATTTTGGCCAATTGCATCAAAATATAGCTGCTCTATCACCCGAAAAAAATCTCTCTCAATCATTTTATGTTTTGTGAACATACTGTTGCATTAATGAATCCCTATAAGATGCTTTGTATAAACACACCTTTTTTGACAATAATCATGAAAAAATTAGAATAAGTTTGACCCTCAAATGGATTCAAAAAGTTTTTTTAATATGCTTTTTAGTATTGATTTAACTCCATTTGAACTTTCATCCAAACATTCTTGTTATCATCGAGCTTGTTTCATAAAATTATACTGCATTGACTAAAGAATTACTGAAAAAAGTTGTTCGAACCATCTCAGGATTAATTCTTGAAGTTTCTGACACAAAAATTTTGGATTTCAGGATCTAAAAATTGCAATAAAATTCAAGCCAGATAAATAAAAAAATTATACTTTTTTATGGTGTATCAACAATGAGTATGTAATTTCAAGATGACATAGAAATTGCCACAAGATATTAATTTTTTTACCTGTACATGAGCTGATTACACTATGTTCACGGTGGACTATAACAAAATTCAATATAAGTAATTTAACTAATGATACCACGTATAACACGCCTGCCGTCTAAGAGTCTTAGATTCGCAAAATCATTCATTTTCATCAGCCAATCAGATCACCAAGATTGACATCCAGTAAATGACTTCACAAAAGAGAAAACATATAAAACAAATTGTTAAACTTCTATTTTAGGGTAAAGCGCTAATCCCAATCGCGACAAGCTATACGATTTAAGCCGATTCAATCAACTTCAGGCTGCAAGAAAACTCGAAAGGAATAAAAATATAAGAGAATAACAGAATTTCAATGTTTGGAAGAAACCTGGAAGATTTCAGGCTTTAGGGAGGCCTCGAGGAGGCGATGCAGAGAGTCAAAGCCATGGATAGATCCCTCCGGTACTGTTTGTGCCGAATCCCTCTCTGCCGCCACCTCTCCATTCGTATTCTCTGCTTGATCGCTATTGAGATCGGCTTCCATACTTTCTCCGATCTCAGATCGGCCAGCAGTAGAAGAGAGCCGGAGGACGGCTGCAGAAATGGGAAATGTGCAATTCTTTCCGATTGGGAGATGCACATGTTAAATTGTCGGCCCAATATTAAAATAATAAGAAGAAAAACTCGAAGCATCCAAAAGCTAAATTGAACTTTTTGTCATTTTGTATTCCGTCAAATTAGAAAAAAAGAATATTTAGTCTCATTTCAATTTAAGATTTAGATATTTTTTTCAATTATTTTCTTTTTCCATTTGAATTCATATTCAACATCTAGGGCAAGTCACCTTATGAAATTCTCTCTAAACCAAGAAATGTTGATTTAATCACAAAATGATTGGGAGAATGATGTCAATGAGTTGAGTTTATTAGCTGCGGCAGGAAAAATTCAGCATGTGAAATTATTTCTCTGTATTTACTGGTGCTATTAATGTCGTCATGATGATAATATTACGGAGTTATTCTGGTGTGATTAATGTACTATTTGATAGCAACGTTACTGTTATGTTGGAGGGTGGACATGACATTATTTAGATATTATTATAGTGTTATAGTTGTAATATTGGTTTTAATTACCCAGTTTAATTGGAATTTTATGTTGACTGTTAATAGTATTATCCTTTTAATATTGTGGTTATTTTTGTCCTGATTTTTTAATAAGGTTAGTTGGGTGTTATTTCGGTTTTATCATGGGGTTATACTAGTGTTATTGGATCTAATTAATTGTTTTATTGGAGTATTATGTTGTCATTGTAATAAGTGTTATTTTGGTGTTATTATTGGTGGTATTATGGTATTATTTTTGTATTATTAGCTTTGAACTATACATTTATGCTATTATAGTATTATTTCTATATTATTATGGTGGTATTATGTATTATGATATTATTTTTGTATCGTTTTATACTAGTCTTATTTGATTTATTAATTGGTTTTGTTGAAGCGTTATTTTTGTCATTCCAATAATTGTATGTTGAAGTTTGCAGTTCCCCTAGCTTGTGTGTGCATTGATCCAATTGTGGATAGGTTGCTTTGCGCAATGGTCCATTAAAAGAATGAAGCCTATGAACATTATTGTGCATATGCACACCAAATTGGATTCACTGTGCGAAAGGATCACGTGGGTTTTTGGCGAATTCAAAAAGAATTAAGACAAATGATTTCATTTGTGGTAAAATTGATTTCAAAAAAGAATTGAATAACAATGTGATGGTGAAGTTTAGAAAAGGGGACACAAGGACTAGTTGTCTAGCCATGATCCGATACGTCATCAATGTTGAAGATAACTGGTCGGTTAAGAAATTTATAGAAAGTTATAACCATCATTTGGCGGCGGACGATGACAAACATCTATTGTGTTCTAGCCGAAAAATGAGTGATATCAATGTAAAATTGCTCATATTGATGACACAATCTGGGATTAAAACAAGCGATGCATTTAGTTTTCTTGCTACAGAATTTGGGGAGTGGAGAATCTTGATTGCACGAAGAGGGATGCTTATAATCTCATACAAAGAAAGAGAAGAGTTAAAATTGAATATGAGGACACTAATTCTCTACTACGATTGTTCACTGAGAGACAAGCTGAGGATACGATGTTTGCATGAGACACCCAAATTGATGAGTCTGGTAGTTTGTTGAATTTCTTTTGAAGTGATGGGATATACAAACTTGATCACGATTGGTTTGAGGATGTCATAATATTTGATACAAGTTATAGACTAAATAAATACAATTTATGTTGTGCTCCTATTTTCAGTGTAAACCACCACTGACAGAATGTTCTATTTGGAGTTGATTTTTTGTCAGATGAAAAAGTTGACTCATTCAAGTGATTATTCAATTCATTTATCTGGATAATAGATAACAATCACCCGAGAACAATATTCATTGACCAGGATCAAGCAATGACCAGAGCAATTGAAGAGTGTCAGCCGCACACCAGATATAGATTATGCTAATGACATATTTATAAGAAATTGTCTTCAAAAGTTCATTATAGTGTGAGCACCAAGAGAGTCAATGAGTTTTTTTATAAATGCATGGGTAGATGCAACTTCGAGGAGGAGTTTGAAGAAACATGGTGTACAATGATTGAGCTAGGAAATCTACACGAGAATGCTTGGTTGAATAGTTTGTACAATATCGGACATAAGTGGTCAACAATATTCAATAAGGAAATATTTGGGATGAGGATCTTATCAATGCAAAGAAGCGAGTCTACAAATAAGATATGTCATTGTGCCTCCAAGCCAACAAGTACCCTTACTGAAAGTTTTTTTAGCCTTAAAAATGTCATGAAATCTTGGTGAATAAATGAGAATGATGAAGATTTTAAATATGAACAATTTGTAATTATTCCCGTTGTAAAAAGTAGTCCCATGTTGAGGCAAGGTGCTTTAGTTTATACGATGAGTTATATTCAATATTTGAAATAGAGTTGTTTCATGGTTTGTGTGGACTTGCTGTGGAGTGTTCAGCCATCGAAGATTTAAAATTTTACATTATAAATTTAGATAATGATCACACAGACAGACCCTGGATTATTAAAGTCGACAAAAATAATTCTGAAATTACATGCAATTGCAAAAAATTTGAAATGATGAGTTTATTATATGCTCACACTTTAAGGGTGCTTAATCATGAGAATATAACAAAGATCTTTTATAATTATATATTATTACGGTGGTCTTGTTGGCATCAATTTTTGATGTCTTGAGTGTAGGGTGTCCACCTGTATGACTCGGGATAGTCTACGGCCTGACTGTAATATCTGATAGTTCAGACACCCACTCGAGATCTTTTTGGCACGTGTTGAGGGGCACCTAGTTGGGATCATTTTGTTAGGCTTTGGCTTTCGCTTAGACGAAGGACGGTCGACATTTGGCACGTCGAACGATTTCAATCGGGTCGACGAATATCATTCGTCGTGTTGCGTGCGAATGACTCAAATTGACGCTATCGTTAGCCCGGAGGATGAAATGGACCACGTGAATGAGTTCGGAACGTCGATTTCAGCTATGGAGGATGTTCACTTCGCTACGGCTTTGCGTATAAGGGTGAATATGTGAAAATTATCGTTTTGGGCACGGTAGTAAAAAAAGTGGTCTGGATGACTCTAGATGATGAAACAGACTGTGTCAATGCGTCCGGAACATTGATTTTAGCCAGGAAGTACATCCACTTCGTTGTGATGACGTATACAAGCTAAAAATGTATTAAGGATATTATATAATATTATAATTATTATATATTATCCCTTATAAACCTACGTCATTTCTACCCGTTTCTCCTTTATCTATCACGAGACCAGCGCTGCCATCCCCTCCTTTGCGATAAACCTAGCCTCGCTCCCCCTTCGGCCGACGGTCGGTCGACCCTGGCGAACTCACCGGAGCTGCTGGCGGCGTCCCCCTCCCCGACGAACGCCGACCTTCTCTCCCTCTTTTCCCTGAGCGCCACACCCCGAGCAGCCAAACTGCCGGATCTCCTCCCATGCCGACGTCCCGAGCCGCTGGATCTCTTCCCTCATCATCGACGCTGCTAGCCTATTTCCTTGCCTCCATATCTCCCCGCCGGTGAGCACCTACAGAGATCCGAAAATCCCTATTTTTTTTCTCCTACCTGAGGCCATGGATGCAGATGGGGCGAGCTCAAATTTGTGGTAAACTCTTTGCTCTAAATCCTCTATTATATGCCATAAATTTGGTTAATGGATATAGAATCCTTTCATGTTAATGATTTAATTTGTGGAGCTCCAAAGCAGTGAGAATTGAGCTAAATTAAAATTGTTTTCTGATGTTTTCCTGCTTTGATTAAGCAAAGGAGGATCTTTTGTGATTTATAGTTGTCAACACTGCAATATTTGCAGTGTTAAGAAATTGTCTTGGGGATAAGGTGAGAGCGCAAAAAACTGGATCAACATTCATCATTTTCTCATCATTTTCAGCTCATTCATGTTGTCTTCAAATATGACAAGCTTGTCCTTATCGAGCACGTATCTCACTATGGATGACCGACATCTACAACTCATGTGTCTTGCGTTCACAAACCTACATAAAACAAAATAATGCAAAAAAATATTTGGGGACGTATAGTCATTATTAAGTTGTTATTTCAATGTTATTTACTCTTTGTTAAGGTTTTTAGGGTAAGCGAGTTAAGTAGACATGTTTTATTTTGAGGTTATTCTGGTAATATTTAAGCATTATTATAATATCACTCAGAAATTTTTTATAGAATTATTTAGGTGATATTATGATATTATTTTCGTGGTGTTATTTGGTGTTAGTTGCTATTATTAAAAAAAATTAGGTATTATAAATAGAATAATTATAGTATTATTTAGGTATTATTCTAGTATTATTTCGGTGGTGTTATGTGGTGTTAGTTTGATATTATTATTAAAATTAAAGTTTGATTCAATCTTATTCATGTATTACTCAGGTATTAATATAGTATTATTTAGGAAATATTCAGGTAATATTTCGGTAGTGTTATGTGGTGTTAGTTCGCTATTATTATTAAAATTCAGATTTTATTCTGGTATAATTCTGGTATTATTATGATAATATTGAGTGAATTTGTGATATTTAGTTCAGACTACTGTCAAATATTACTCAAATACTACTCAAATATTATCCTAAAACAGTAAATTTGAGCTAAATACCTGAGTGATTTGGTTTTTGGGCTTTTAGATAAACAAAAATATCATTCATTGAAGTATCTATTCTGAATACTATATGAATGAATTTCTACACCATGTTAACATAGACATGTCAATGAAAGTAGAACCACAAAATAAAAATTATCTGGATGAACTATCTTGGTTTTCCTTCTTCTTACGCTCGTTCGCTTCGTTCTTCTTGCGCTCATCAGTTTCCATTTTCAAATGCTCTTCATTTTCCATTATCAACGGCTATTCGGTCTCCATTCTCAAAAGACTCTCTTCGGTATCCGTCTGCCTGAGCTCAAATTCCATCTTGGTAAGGAGAAATCACAACTTTACTTCGACTGGCGAATAACAACACAAAACCCTAAGCTTTTCTGATTCAAGAAAGCAATCCAAAACCCTAAACGATTACTGAATGACAGTGCTCTACGCTCGGGCGACGTTTAGTTTTCTGGAATGATGATCTGACGTCTTGATAAGGCGCACAGTTTAATTTTTAGGTGCTTGGGCCGGACTCGAGCCGGGCTGCGCAGTAAGAAAATAAAATTTTAATTTTTTTACTTTGGGGCCGCATTTACACGTGTCATGTTTTAATTGGACACCGCACGCAAGTCTGTGTGCTGTGTCCACATAGAATAAGCGCTCCTCTATGCATTAAACGGATGACGATATTTTGTTTTTGTTTGTTAATTGAAAAAAACTATTTAATTTGTGTTTTTGTAATTATTTGCATCTATTTTTCTTAAATAAATTGATTTATTCTTAAGAAATCAAGATTAATTTTAATTACTTTTTACTAAGTATCACGGCCTAAAAATTTAATTTCACATAACAAATATCATCACTTTAATTAAAATAAAATAAAAAATATATTTTCATGCATAAATAAAATGATATATGCATAAAAATTAAAATATAAGTGTTGGATATGTAAATACAGATGAGTTGTGTATTATTTATGTAAATATTCCTCAAATAGTTAAATAAATATATGATTATATCTCATAAATATGCATTTATTATCTTTCTATTTAACATAATTGACACGACTCTAACAAATCTTAAATCTTTAACATCTAAATATGGAGGCATGATATAGATCTCCATGCGACTTTTTGAGCAAGAATCTTTCAATATGCATTTATTATCTTTCTATTTAACATAATTGAAACCCTAAACTTTCAAATTTCGATAATCCATAACTCCAATTTCAACAAACTTAGTGTCAAACTGACCGGATCGATGACAAGAACCCAATGTTACCAAAATTGATCCAATCCGAATCAAATCAAGCAATTACACCTTTTTTGAAAGTTTTATGAACACATTTTAAATGTCAAAAGAATGTCATTTCTAACGAGTTTATAGTCAAATCGAGTGTCTTGGCAAGATAAATCCAAATAACATAAGATTACTCAATTCTGATATCATTAAGACACTCAAATGCTCATCAAATGATGTTTGATCGACCATCTAAGTCGTCTGATCAAAGTGATTCATAATCTTGCATTAACTGTACTCAGAACTCTATAAATATAACCTCACCCCTCTCATAGAAGGGAGAAAACTTGAAACCGAAGAAGAGCTTGAAGCTTTGAGAAGTAGCTGAAATCTAACACAACTCCAGCTGTCGTCGAGCATAATCAACCGCCGTCGACCCCCTCTTGCTGTTGTTGAGCATCGCTAACTGTTGTTGACTTATGTTGACCACCACCGACTGCAGTGACAACCACTTGTCGGCTGTCGCTGATTGTTATCAGCCGCCGCCCGTTTTTTGCAAAAAAGTTCATCTTCACGTCAATTTTGTAACTTGGGAGATCTTCTAACATTTTCTTGCCTGTGAGAGAAGTCGTTGCAGCTGTAATCATCACTTAAAGTAAAACTCTTAAACTAGGTCAGACACCGTGATTTTCTCTTTATGAGATTTCCAGGTAAAAACTTTTCGTGTCATTACTAATTATCCTTCTCTCTTCTGAGTATATGTTGAATATTTGTATCATGCTAAGACGACAATGTACTACTCTAAAGTCGTGACTTTTCTAACACACATCAACAACTTTTATATAGCATAATTTACAAAGAACTTAAAAGTACAAGTGTGTAACTACTAAAACTTGTCGACGTAGAAGTCAATACCTTATGGGTTGACGTAATGCATGCGTTGATATTTAATTTATTTTTCAAAAAGATAGGGTATGTATTTAAGTTTTAAATTATTTCTTTCATCATTTATAGTCAAAATTTCTTACTCCTTTTATATTAAAAATAAGAATATATAAAAAAATATGACACAAGCAGAAGACAACGATGTAATTAAATGAATCCATGAATGCAAACATTAAAAAGCTCCTTTCGGAAATGATTAAAAGGCCATGGATTATTTTCACATTATTAAAATAAAGTAGAAACATTCGGCCTTTACGCCAGAAATCATAAATTTGAGACTTTATTCATATATACTAACTTATGATTAAATTTAATCAAAATTAAGGAAAAAACTCTTATAAGATGAAATTGTGAATATCACAAACGAGTCGAACACGAGCCACCCTAGGCTCAGCTCATGTCCGACTTCTTAAAAAATATCACTGTCGTGTTAAGGGTTGGAGCAAGATTTAGATCTTTTGTTTATATTAACACACCATTTAAATATAATTTAATATATATATATTTTATTTTTTTAATCCATAATTTTAATTGATTATAAATCTTTATAGTTTTGCTGTCAGTTAAATTTTTTAAAAATATATATTATATCAAACAAAAAAAATATTCGTGTTTGGCTCGTCAGTTAGCGAATGAATTGAGTGGTTTTAAAATTACTCGAAATGATCAATTTTAGGTGTTTTAAAAATAGCTCGAGTTATTGTAAAAGTGAATACATATCTAAACAAAATAAATTAATGAAATATATTTTAACAAATAAAAATGAAAGTAAATAAAATTCAAAATAGATCTTTTAGGTGCACCTACTTCAGCTAACTATTTTTTTTTTTTTTTCATTCTAGTGGACTCATGCACCAGCTTTAAAGAAAATATTTCGTCTCATATTAGGTTTTAGTCTTATTTATTTATTTATTTTTATACCTTTCAAGTGGCCACGCTTCGCACGTTGCCGAAGGATTTAAATCCACGTGCTAAAAATGATATAATCGTTTTTTTTTTGTCAAAAAAATATAATAAATGGGCATGCTAGACCGTGGTTGCCTCCACGCCGCACGCCTCTCCTTTAATAAATTAAAGATATGTTTGGGGCAGCTTATGCGTTTCAGGATAAGCTGCTTATCCTGAAACGCGGCCTGCGGGCCGACTGGATGGTTTGACCCGCAGCTTGCGTTTAGTGTAAAAACTCAAACGCAGTTTCGGATAAGCTGGTGAAACGCGCGAACCAAACATCCCGCACTTATAAGCTGCCCCAAACGGACCTCCCCTGGCGGGAGGTGTCGCCGGCGATTCGTTCCTTCACCCGCTCGAACCGTGAAACAGAGCAGGGGATTGTGATTCCTCCAACATGGCCAAACCCGAACTCCTCCTCAACCTCCCTAAGCAATTCTGCGAAAAGCGGATGGTTAAAATAAACCACAGGCACAACGCACCGCTGCGGCGGCGACCCCACCTTCCCCATTTCCCCGCCGCCCACATAAACCACCAAGTGTCCCTTCGGCGGCCGCTTCTCTCCCTCGCCGCCGACAATCGGCTCCGGCATCTTAAGCCCAGCCTGCATTTGAAATATCGGCCCCACAGCGAGAACCGCTCCGATCCCATCGTTGAGCCGCATTCTGTCTCGCGGAACGGGGAACGAGCCGGTTCGAGGAGGCTGTAATGTGTCGACCGGCCGGAGGGCATCCATCCCCAACCTTGAACCAGCCGCCGCCGGATACGTAGAACTCTGTCTACGTACACCGAGTCTTTGCAGGATTTGTGCATGTGCATCAGAAGCTTATCTTGGCCTGCTTTTGGAGTGATGGAGAAGGGGGAGGGAAGAAGCTATTATAAGGAGGACGGTCGGCCGTACGGTCTGGGTCTACGTACACCGAGTCTTTGCAGGATTTGTTTATTCGGTCATTTATTGGAGATTTTGCATGCATCGCACCGGAAATAATAAGACTTATCTCACGCTTATTCTATAAAATTTTCATTTGCAACAATAATTTATCCATTGTGTGGGGTCCGCTGCATAAGTTTTTTTTTTTAATTTAAATGTTTAAATATAGAGTTTTTAAAATCTGGACATTTGTTATTTTGTCATTTTCTCGTCAATTTCTCGTCCCTCATCTTCTCATATTCGCCTTGAATCCCTGCAGTTAGGGCTACAAATGGACCGAGTTTTGAATATTTACTTGTAAGTAGGCTCGATGAAAGCTCGTTCTTTCGTTTGATTGGCTAATTGAATAAGTCTGAATACTTTTATAAATGCTCCATTTGTTAACTGAACATGCTTGAATGTCTTTGTTTGATTCATTTACGTTTATGAACATTATCATTTAAAGTTCATGAAAAAATCTCATTAACATAAACATGTTTGATGAATAGTTTCATTTAAATTTCATAAATAAGATCTATTTAAGGCTTATGAATAAAATCGAGTAAAACTTAGTTTAAATTCGTGAATAAGCTTAATTAAAGTTTTACTCAAAATTATTTTATATTAAATTAAATTACTTTTTAATCTGCTCGATAATGACTTCATTATCTCATTTGACATCAAGAACAGACGATACGAATGAGAATGCAGATATTGTTAGTCGGAGGCAACGGAATATCGATCCAATTGTCTCATATATGACGACTCGGAACTGAGACAATTGGATAGGTATTCCTTTGCCTCTGACTAACAAACCGTACGAATGAGCGTGCGGACAACACTTATACATGGAAATATGAGCCACACCACATGTATTAAAATGAGAAAAAAAAACATAAAAAATAGAAAATAAATGAATCGAGTCTTTGATAAGCTGTTCCTAAATGATATTTTTGACAAGGTATTTTTATTGGTTAACTAACTAAATAAGTTTGGATATTTTTACAAATACTCAATTGTTAAATAAATAAGTTTGAACATCTCGTCCGATTCAATTTTATTCACAAATAATATCATTTAAAGGTCATGAATTAGCTCGTTAATATGCTCGATAAATAATTTTTTTTAAAATTTATAAAAAAGATCAATTTAACGCTTATGATTAAAGTCAGTTAAAACTTAATTTATGAGTGTGAATAAGCTCAATTAAAACTTAATTTAAAATTCATTTAAATTAAATTAAATTAAGTTAAAGTTTTAATTTAGAGTGCATAAAATAATATAAAACTAATTTGTTTACTTGTTTTTTATATTTTTTTTTTGTCAATTTATATGTATATTTTAATTATTCATTTAATATCTCATTCATTAAAAAAAAACTAATTTATTTTTTAAGTTCAACAAGTAGCTCATCTCTAAGCTTGATAAAGAAGGCTCTTTTGATTAGAATTACTACCCATTATTTTGTTCAATAAGTCTTATTTGATTGGAAAATAAAAATGTGATAAGACTAATTTTAATTTTCTTAATAAATATTGTTTGGATAAAAAACAAAATAGCTTAATAATTTACTTTTTAATCTCATCGGCAATGACTTGATTATCATCATATGAAACAAACAATAACCAAACTCAAAAATGAACTAACCTTGAACATAAAAACAAAACTCGATTAGACCTCGAGCTCGGCTCCAACACAAATTTTATAAACAAGCTCAAGCTAGAACACAACCTCAAAAGTTTGATTTGAGCTCGAGCTCGCACACAACCCTGTTTGACTGACTCGGTTTGGTTTGTTTGCAATCCTACTAAAAATTTCCTTGAAATAATATTGAATCCTCATATATCTTCACAAGAAAAACAACCAAATATATTGTCAAAACTACCTATATAACTATTGCCAAAAAAAGATCCCTAGAGAAGAAAGAAGAGTTCTGAAACCCTGCCCATAAGAACTTAAGGACTCCTTTCAAGTCAAGGAGCAACCAAATCATCAAATTTGATATTATAATAGCATCCACTTAAGGATTTTTTGATACTAAAAAATGATTGAGTCCTTGAGTCATCTTTGGTAATCATCATAGGTCAATAAAGTGCATTATCAGTAAGACCAAAAGTATAGTGTCAATTCAATAACAAAATTATCTAGACAGGATAATAAAGAGAAGAAGAAAACCAAAATTTTTCATAATCTAAGCTGTAACAACCAACCAATCAACCGATATATTTCGAAAAAAAATCAGAATCACCCAATTACTTTTAAGATATAATAGTAAACTCAACATATGAAGAATTTTTTAAGAAAAAATAAGAAGAAGAAGGGGAAATAAAATGTTGTAAAGATCCTTAATATGAGCAGGAATATTAACTTTAAATTTCTTTTTCCCGCTATTTAATTTGATAGCCAAATGTATGTCCTGAATCAATGCATCGAAAGCCATCCATGAATTCCTAAAAATTTTGTTGTTACTTTCCTTTCAAATGCAATGAGTCGTTATATGGACAATTAGTAAGAAAAAATTCTTACTAACAGTCATGACAAGAGACTCAAAAAAAGAAAGAATATGCTGCATATTTGCACTTAATATAAAGAAGCTGCAGTTACAAATACATCTTTTTAACAGCACATGAGCAGAGTAGCATTAAAAATAAGTTATTTTGTGTCTCATTATGAGTAGGATAAAAGACACAAAGAAAATTCACCACAATGTCTCTAACCATCAAAATATTACAACTTTTAAGTCCATTACATAAAATTTTCGAAACATTGACAAAAAATTTAGTAGAATAACCCTTATACCAAATGTAATTGCACAAATTCACGAAGGGAAAATTTTCATATAAGAATTTGTAATTGTGCTTTTTGAGTATACAAGGTTAAGCCTTTCCAAAGGCAAGAAAATTGCTATCATTATGCATAACATCACTAGGTTGTAAAAAGGAGGTCAATCAAAGCAACTGAATATATTGTAACCAGAACTCTCCAAGAGAGAATGATCATTTATCCAAGAATAAAAAATGAAGAGAAGATTATAATTATGATTAATTTGAAGCTATAAGAAAATTTAAATTTTAACAGTCACTTGACTTAAATCTTTCCAAAAAGTATAAATATGACTTATATGCTTGACTTATAAAGAATCATAGAAGTCAATATACCATTTGTTTAACAGAATTAGAATTAAAATGCCTCAAGATTAATTTGGATTCACACATCATCTTAATGGCGTCAAGATTGTGTAGATTAAGGCCTCAACAAAATTTAGATCACGATAAGGTGATAGGGGCACCTTTGTCTCATACGACAAGGTGATAAAGCCTCAACAAAATTTAGATCACGATGACAAAAAGATAAGGTGATAGGGCACCCTTGTCTCATACCAGAAAAACTGAAGAAACATTTCATTTCACTATTTAAAATGACAAAGAAACAAATGTTAGAAACACAAGCTTTAATCCACTAGATAAGGTTTCAAAGAAAGCCCAAGCTAGCCATCCTATCAAAGATAAATTGATATTTAACTATTAACATTGTCAAATTCCTTTTTAATATCTATTTGTTATGGAGGATGCTTTATTATTCTGCAACGTCTGTGGATACTTAGCACAGCGCTTTGTTACTCCACAATTGACATCTTGAATATGCACAAAGCTTCATTGCAATGAATAAGGAGTGGTTGATGATGGTCGATGGTGGCCAACAAGCAGTGTTCAACGATGGTTCGTGGCTGCTGGAGCGGGAAGCGTTCGCTAGAACTTCAATGCAAAAATGATCTGAAATTCTACTCCATCTCGTGATCCTCCTCCATGCTCAGATCTTTTCTGGTTCAAGGTCTTGGTCCCTCTTCATGAAAGGGGGCACTGCTCTATTTTTAGAGTCTACGAGAGGTCTCCTTGCAGATAAGGAAGGAGTCTGGACCACTCCATCAGACAATGTAAAGATATTCTATTGATCATATGATATTTTATGAACATGTGAGTGACTTAATGACAACAAAATTAAGTGATCTTGGGCTCGTTGAACTCATCTCTTTGAGAAGCTCGATTTGACTATAAGTTTTTTAGATTTGAAATATGTTTGATCTTCTAATTGGGCACCCAAAGCCTTCAAAAATGGTTAAATGGCTTGATCTATTCTTGATTTCACTCTAATTGGACCAATTTTAGTGTCATTATGTCCATCTCGTCAACTCAGTCATCTGGACTGCAATTTCACTAAAATTGGGGTTCTAGATGATTTTTAATCGGAGTTAGAACATTTTTTGCTCAAAAAATTCTCCAAGATTCGTTATGATCGCCTTGAGATTTATGTCAAATGACAAATTTTTTTGATGACGTATCAAGAACCATACGAAACATAGCCTAAGATGGGGTATTTAACATTAAGCTGAGTTTTGGAGCTTTCGTTCATTGCCTCACTGTTGATGTTGAAACATAATAAAATGAAAAAAAAACAATGGTACAAAGGAATTATACTAAATCTAGTGGATCCCTATCCATGGATGTACTTATTAACAACATTATGAATAATTAGAAAAATGATCGCTATTGATGGGTGTTGTGACTATTAAGTGGACGGAATATTGCACTTCATTAAATATAACATCTCGTGAAATGAATAATTCCTTAGTTTGAATGCATATAATTTATGTCCATTCATACCTAGAAGATAACTAATAAAAGCAAAAATACAATCACAAGAAGAAAATTTTGTTAGTTAGATAGTTAAGGTGAATAACAAATGCTATAGATCTTAAAACACAAAAAATAGAATAATCTATTGTGATATTATACGAGAGTTTATACGGTATTTGTTTCTAAGAATTAGAGAGGGTCTTTCGTTATGGAGATAATGACTAGTATACATTTATTTCAAAATTAATGAGGAATTCTTGACTAAAAGTATAAAGCTCTACCAATATTTAGTATGTGTTTATGTTGAGTTTTGATGTGATCGTTCAACATTTGAATGTTAATGAATAAAAGAATTCATTGTTTCAATTCCTTGGCATTATTTTAAATGTGCATTTAGTTTTATCACCAAATTTGATTTAGATATTAAAACTTTTTGAATTATGGCTGTTAACCATAAGGTCGAAGGTTCAAGCCCTTCCTCTAGCGGATATGTCCTTCTTTTTTTTTTCAAAAAAAAACTGTTTGTTGGCTCAATTTTTCTTAATTTTTTTTAAATAGCTTTAGCGTGATTGCATTTGCCGCATGCATCTCAGAGATGTATGCCGTGTCCGATCCTGACCGTAGATCACGGTGATTTACGGTTATGATGTATTTTGGTTTTTTTTTTAATTTTTTTTAAGTGGGTTTTGTTTTAAAAAAAAAGCTGTTTGTTGGCTCAATATTTCTTAATTTTTTTTTAAATAGCTTTAGCGTGATTGCATTTATTTTGAGGTGAATTCAACATATTTATTTTGAGGTGAATTCTTATGTATTTGATTCAAAAAATTATTGTATACGGACATCACATGTAGAGATATATGCAGTGTCCGATCCTGGCCATAGATCACGGTGATCTACGGTCAGGATGTATTTTGGTTTTATTTTTTTTTAAATAAAAAAATTAAAGTGGGGCCCACTAAAATATATTCTTATCTTAGATCACCGTGATCTACGATCAGGATCTAACGCCGCATGCAATAATTTTTCCTTAGATTTTAATCACATATTATTCCTTTCGAAATCTTTTGTGCGAAAAAAAAGTAAAATACACCTTTTATAAGATGACATATGTGAAAATTGAACAATTTGGTGTTAAATGTGTAAATAACAAGGAAATAAGTGGCATGTATGTAAATCTTTATTGGGTCATTTACATACATACCACCAAATTCTTATGTATTTACATATGATACGACCACAACAAATTTTCTTCATCCCACATAGATTTTGAGGTATGAAATATATCTAGAAGCAATCTTTTAAGTAAAAAATATTCAAATCTCGATAAAAAGCCATCTAAAGCTTCGATTTCAGTAAACTTAGAGTCAAGCTGATCGGTTCGAGAAGACAGACCCGTGTAACCTAAATTAATCTAATTCAAGTAAAATAAAGCTCAGATGAAGCCATTAAATAGCTTTTGGAAGTTTTCCAAATACATCGGGAAGATTAAACTTATGTAAAATCTAACGCGTTCATAGTCGAATCGAGTGACTTAACAAGACGAATTCATATAGCTCAAGATCGCTTAATTCCAACATTGTTAATACACTCAAATGTTTATCAAATAATGTATAATTAAAGGAATTTTTTCAGACCGTCTGACCAAAGTAATTTATATTTCAACATTAATCACACTCAGAACTTTATAATAGAGCCCCACTTTAATGAGAAAGGAAGAGAAGTTGAGCCTTGAAAAAGAGCTTGAAATTTTGAGTAGCGAAGGTCAAGCACCACTCATATTGCTATCGATCACCGCTAACCACCGCCGACCATCTCTCAGCCTCCGCAAATTACTATTGGTTGCCGCCGTTCCTTGCAACAAGTTCATCAGCACTCGACATTACAATTTGGAAGTTTTTATAACCCTAGATGGGACAAATGACCGTACTTGCAATATTCAATTTATGGTGAATTTTTTTTAGTTGGGCCAAACTCCTTTATTTTTAACTTCTAGTATTTCAGCTGATTGTTTTCTTTCATATTTAAGTGTATACTGAATTCTCGTGCAATGCTAAGACGATCAATTACTCTACCGCCGCAAATTTTTTAGCACGCATCAATTAAACTTCAACTTAAATTAAGTTTATCACCATCCACAACGACATGTTTTTTAAATTAATCTCAAACTTCTGATAAAATCTGATTTTCTTAATTAGAACCAACTTTTAAATATATAATTATGAGAGAAAAAAAAAATTATATGATATTCAGAACTAACTTTTATTTTATTTTTTATTTGATGCAATATATATTTTAAATTGATTGGTTTAAGACATGTCCAAGTTTGACGTATACAGGTCTTATCCGCATTTGATAAACAGCCCATAATATAAAATATAAGTTTTTTTTTAATTTAATAATAAAAAATGACAACCAATCAAACAGCCAAGGCAATGTCAAACTTGATTACAAATGACAATGGACTCACTGTTTCTCAAACTACCACTGAAGCTCTCTTTGTGAAATTATTTTTTATTGCATTCTAAAAATTTACTTTTTATAATTAACTCTGTCAAAGAGTGATAATTATATAAAAAAAAAAATATTCTGACTTTCAAAAGAAAAAAGAAAAATTTCCACCACAATTTTACAAAAAATTAAAATAATAAAATAAAATAAAATAAAATGACATATGTTACATAACTACAGAGCCAGCTAGAAGCCAGTGAAGTCAACTAAGGAAGAATATGACATATTTTCATCAGTTCCAGATATGTCCTGGAAGGATGCCTTGCCAGTTTCTCTATGGGTTGAAAATGTAATTTTGGTATTTGCAAAGCCAGCCAATTCAAGCAACTGCAGCCTGGTCTGCTTTGAATCCTCAAGCGGACCATCCCAACTCGTTTCTGTAACAATTTCAACAAATTTCTCCACTTTTTCTTCGTCCATAAGTGTCGTGTTTTGTAAGAGGACCAGATATACTTGATCAGCTGCGGCTTTGCGTATCTGATCACTCGTACAGATGCATTAAGAATTAATGAGAGGCATATGAGCAGAGATTCACATGCACATCACTCAACTCTTATACATTTTACATATCTAACACCTAATTTTTACACCTTGGTGTCATAAACTAAAACATGCAAGTATGAACGTTTAGCAACAAGATATGTAAATACATAAGAATTGTGTGGTATGCATGTAAATCTTGCTAAATATATTTGACAGGGAAATACAGAAGGGATCGCCAAATGGTAGAAGAAGATGAATCATTACAGACAATAGCGCATTTAAAAAAAGTTGATTTCCAACAAACACAAAATGGCAAATTGAAATCTGACCTTTATTCAATAAACAAAAGATTATCATTGCAGGCTTCAGCTATGTACTAATAGATTTAATTATCTCTGTTAATGTCTAGGTGGATACAGTGGTAACGCACAGGTCGCCTACTGATTCAACTAAAACCAGTAAAAGCATTTCCCTTGGATTTTTTAATTGAACGAGGCCTTCAAGAACTTTTCTTGAAACTCTTAAAACCAATTTACATAAAAAACACGGTAAGTTTTATAAATCAATTAGTTTCTCTCGTTTAGTATAGTATGTATTTATGTACGTTGTATTTCTAGACAAAAACCAGCAAAATACTTTAAAAATATCGTCAAACCACTGTTATTGGGTTTGTCGTTATACACTGAGAACCCAATGGGCACACGTCGAGCCACCACGTCCTCTTTAGATTTTTGGTGTGTTTGGGATAGGGGTAGGAGCAGACGGGCATTAATAGGGAAGTTTTATTTTAAACATAACTTACTAAATATAAAGCTAAAAAATATCAAATTACACATCAGATAATATATAGACATATCAATTAATTTGAGAGGATTAAGAATAGAACTCAAATTCATTTAGTATAATATAATTGCATATTTAATCATAATTAAGATATAATTCAGCAGAAACAACAAATTTAATGAAAATAAATGAATTTTAGATTAAATTTCATACCGCAAATATCCACTCAAAGTTTGTATGACGAGCAAATTAAGAATTGATAATAAAATAAAATAATATTTAAAATTTCACCTACATGTATAAATGAAATAATTCAACCTATATATGAGAAAATCAATTCAAATAAATTTCCATACAAAATAATTTTCATAATATCTAAAATTCACTAGAAATAAAATTTAATCCATTTGCATTATGAATCCATTATTCTTGAAACCATTGGCAATAGCTAATTAATCAATTTATAATGAATTACTGAAGACAATCAAATTAGTCTTGGGATTATTTAGCTCCATCAGCTTAATCAATACACTAAGCTATACAAAAACCTTGGAGCTCTTGATTCTTCATTTGAGTCTTATAGTCTTATACTACTTAGCTCATCACCCAAGTAACAATTGAATGGTCAGGAAAAGCAACCCCTTTACATGTGAAACCTCCGTGATGTATAAATGAGGCGGCTAAAGAGTAATTTATCATGTGATAGATTATGTTTGTTTTAACAAAATTTTCTTTAATACTTGGCACAAGTTAAAATTGGGGCAAAGACTTCCTATGGACACAGGCTCTCACAGTTAATTATCCCTCCAACTCGTGATGGAGCACCCATGTATAAGAAGACTATTTACAATCAATTTTTAAGGAATGGTTGGGGTAATCAAGATTTCACTATTTCATCATCACGGGCATACTAGTAGACTAAATTTATCAATATTAGATGTCTATGAGGCATAAGGTCTAGGGAGCTTAATTAAAAATCATGGGTTGTCCCTTCTGAAGTATTCAAAGAAAACTTAGATGAAAATATATTAGACATGTTTTTGAGATGAAGTTCAACCCACATAATGGAAGAAGGGTTTGTCATAATTATTTGAATGAATAGTTCATAAGAACAATTATGGTTGCTTGTGGTTCAGAGATACTGAACATGAACAACAGCTCAAATTAATGTTCAACAACAACAACAACAACAACAACAACGACAAAGCCTTAATCCCAATAAGTGGGGTCGGCTACATGAATCATTTTTTTCCATTGTGTCCTATTTAGTGTCATATTTTCATTTAGTTCTAATAAATTAAGATCGATTTTTATACAATAAGCCCAAGTCTTCCTAGGTTTACCTTTGTCTTTCTTAACATAAGTTGAATCTAAAACATCTATTCTCCTAATCGGATCATCAGATGGTCGACGCTTAATGCGACCAAACCATCTAAGACAACTTTCTCTAATTTTGTCCGTCACTGGAGCTTCACAAACCCTATCACGAATAAGCTAGAATTAATATTGCAACTCATTTATTCAAGAATTTTAGCCTACTTCAAAGAAGAATGTGTATAACACGTGATTTCAACAAGTACAATTGATTTTGACCAATGGACTTGTGAGAATGAGAGTTGATCCGAGTTAGGTTAGATTGGAGCTTATATCAACTGGAATACAAATTAATTAGGATGGAACTTATATCCAATGGGTTTACAATTTAGTCAGTTTTTTTATTTTTTGCCGACTCAAAGTAATCAGGATGAGGCTCGCGTTCATTGGAAGGTTCATAATTGAGACTTACCGTGTTGAGAATGAGGGAATCCTAATGATAAATTTTATGAGACTTAACCCAAAATACCAGTAATATAAGGTAGTCTGTTTAACAAAAATGAAACTCACGTCTATTGGAAGGCCCACTTATCTCATTTGGATACTTGATTTGTGTCTAATGTTTAAAATAACTTCATTTGAAATCTGGGGTTTATTGCACTAGTTATGAGTTTCCTACAAAATCAGGGCCTATGATACTAGCTTTCGACTTGCTCACACGTGTAGCTTGCTAGATCTTGGAATTGACCAAAACAATGATTCTTAAGATCTCGCTGCACATGCAAGGAAGGCCAATCTGGTTTTGGATCAAAGTAGCATGCAGTTTACAAAAATATCAAGGCAAATGCTTACAGGACAGTGGGATCAATTGAAAAATATAAAGACTCGACTTGAAACCTGGGCTTACCTGCCTAATCAAAAAAGTCAACATTTATCATATTATGCTAGGATGTCTAAGGGTATTATAATATTTTGGTTCATGAGAAGGCATTTTTGGTGATTTACTATTGGGTCCCCAAAGATTTACTAGAACCATTGAGTTGGGATCAGATCACTTAAAATTCCAGCATATACTTGTATATATTCAAATGTATTGAAAGGTTCATTGACATGCCAACCATCCAATGTATTGACTAGTTCGTGGATTCACCAACCATCATTGATGTTTGTGCAACATTCATAAACGCTAGGTATGCCTATGATGCATCACTACCCCTTCAAACACCTTTCAAATTATTTGTAGTCGTAGCATATTTTTCGGGGCTCAGAATATTTTATGAATTTTCTATCCCGTATTCATTGAATGTATGGAATTGGTATAGTTAAGAAAGTTATATACTTTAGGTACCAGTTTGTTTAACAGATTTGGGGGCAATGCCACAATACAAAGCAAAGAGATTTACTAACAGGAGCTACTCTATAATTATATATATCATATATGTCGTCTCCCACGCTCGGCTCTGCTAGGGTTTCGACCCATGTTGAACCCTGTCACGCCGTACCGCATGATCTTTTCTTCGACGTCGTCGTCCCTCTCCGTCGTCGTCGTCTCTCCTCTCGCATCTCGTCGTCTCTGTTCAAAGCTGACTGCGGCTCGCGTCGTCGTCTGTCTGACAGAGTTCGCAGTTCGCATCTCGTCGTTCTGTATCTCACGGAAGGCAGGAAGGGGTCGCAGCACTAGCGTCGTCGCCTTCCGCTAGAGGGTTCGTGGCTGCCTGTGTATGTTGTGCCGATCGACAGCTTGCTGAAGAAATGGCTTCTGGACAATCCTGGACATTCCTACGCCGCCGCCCTCGCCAGTGATAACC